GGCGACGCTGGCTCCGATTGCGCTGTGGTCAATTCTGAGTTCTTGGAGGGTTGTGTTGTTGTGGAGGAGGCTAGTGAAAAGGGATTGGGCGTCCGACTCTGACAGCGGCATGGCGAGACGCAAGCGCCTCATGGGCGAGTTGGGTTTCGCCAAGAGAGCGCCGACTGCAGCACCTACGGATCCGTCTCCGAGCGGTCGCTCCTTGTTCCACAGATGCTGCGAGCACGGCGAGGAGCTGGAGAACGTGATGCTCATCAGAGCAGGGTGGGCGAGGAGCGAAGAAAAGATGCTGGCGACGGATTGTCGAAGCACACTCTGCTCCTCCCTGCAGGCGCAGCGGTACGAAATGTCGAGTTTTCGCAGCGACCTGTTTCTGCGCAATGCGCTCGCCAGAGTTTTGATCCCGGCCTTGTTCACATAGGTGGACGAAATGGTCAACCCCGTCAGTCGAGAATTTGGGAACTTGAGCACACGGGCGAGCACAGCAGCGTCCGCAGCTTCAAATTGCTTGAACGATAACGAAATCGACTGGATGGACTCGTTCCGCAGCAGCTCAGCGCAGAGCTCGTCGATGCCCGCAGCCTCGGCTTCGCACCAGATTTCCAGGTGGCGAATCGATGTACTGGTTCCGACAGCGTAAGCGATAGCAGCGAAAAGACGACGGTTCGCCCGGACGCCGAGGAGAGACAGGTGGCTGACGGACGGATGTGCGCAGACGGCCTGACAAGCGGCACCGACGCCGGCAACGGTCAGGCCGGAAACCGACAGCACCACGCGAGCGAGGCCGGGGGTGCCGTCGTCGCGAATGGCAGCGGACAGGATCCTTGCGCCCTCGTCGCAGAGAGCAAAGTCTCCAAAGTCCGCCGTTCGCTTCCCTGTGCAGCCGAGCGGTGGTTGGCCATGGGCGAGGGCCGCCGCGAGATCGGTGCACGTTTTGCGCCGTGATGATGAGGAGGAGGGTGTGATCGGTGGAGGAAGGCGGTGTGTGTGGGGGCGTGCTGCTTGGGCACTCCGCAGCCGACTATGAGGGTGGGAAAGACAGCGGCCGTAGACCCCAGCGCCATCGACTCCGTCGTCGTCGCCAACATCATCATCATCCGCGTGGGTGCCAAGAAGAGCAACCGAGGCTGCTGCTGCTGCTGCTGCTGCCGAGGAGATGGCGGCGGCTGCGGCGACGACGAGGGCGGCGGCGGCGAAGGCAGTGGCGGCGGTGGCGCCGATCCTGCGGCCACCCACCAGGGCCATGTGTGGATGTGTGAAAAAAAAAAAAGGAAGAAAAAAAAAATAATGGATGTCTTGCGGACTGTCTCTCTCTCTCTCTCTCTCTCTCTCTCTCTCTGTCTCTCTCTCTCTCTCTCTCTCCCTCTCTTTCTCTGTCTCTCTCTCTCTCTCTCTCTCAATAAATAAGAAAATTTGTTGTATTAATTATCCGAGCGGTGTCTGTGGAATATTTAAGGGCACGTGTGTGTCTGGATGGAAGGGGTGGCTGCAGTCAGGCAGGCAAGACCGGCAGACCGACTGACAGATGCCAAATGACATCACGAAGCCAAGCACACACCAAACCACCAGAATCCGAACAACAAGGCCGCAGTCGTCGTCGTTGTTCGAAGAAGACTGGCCTGGCCTGCCTTCTCTTCTTCCCCTGCCTCGCTTCCTCAACTCGGACAGTCGCCAGACTTCCAAAAAAAAGGCTCAACCACCAACGAGGAACAGAGAACTGCGTTTTGATAAGGGTTGATGCCTTGCAAAGACAGTGTGGACTTCTTCACAACTCTGTCGCCTGAAAACGCTCTGCTTCGTCACTCTCCCTTGGTGCGCATTTTTAGCATTCTCATTCTGTCTCGGATGTCCCAACAGTGCACAAAGTTGGACACGAATACCGAGCTTCAATTCAATTACAGCCTGATCCCCTCTCCGCCGGTGATCGATTCGTGGAATGTGCCCACCACCGGGTGGTCCTTCCCAAAGCAAGACACCACCGAATTCCCAAGCAGCTTGACGCGAACCGGTCCAACAATCCGGCCCGCGCTGCCCGCCGGGGCCGCCAAAGCCTGTAACGCTTTGAAAACCTCCTTCAACGCTGCGGTCTCCGCCTCCGCCTCCGCGTTCTCCGATCCAGCCGCCTTCGTCGCCTTTGCGGCCACCCCGACGAGCCCGTCCGCCAGTTCCATCAGCCGCTCCGCCTGCTCCTGCGCAGTCAAATGCGCCAACACGCCCGCCTCGGCCATCTGCGCGACTAAAAACGCCGCCGCGTCCCACCGCCCGGCTCGCGCGGCCTTCAGTACCGCCGCCTCGTACCCGCGCTCGCGCACCGCCTTCGCCGAGCCCGTCCCGCCCTGCTGCGCGACCATCTCGGCCGCCTCGGCGTCCAACCGGTCCTTGAACGCCAGCGCCAGCTCGACTTTCCCCGTCCCGACGAACCCGGCGAACGCGAGCGCCGTCGTGCGCACGGTCGGCTCGACCCCGGCGTCGGCCCACAGCGCGTCCCACGCGCGCAGGTGCATCTCGGTCTCGGTGAGGTCCGACGGCGCGGTGCCGTCGGCGGACGCGCCGGCGACGGCGGCGGCGGCGGCCGTCGCGAGATCCGTCGCGCTGCTGTCGAGGAGCGCGGCGAAGGCGGCCATTTCGGTCTTGAGCAGGCCGACGAGAGAGGCGGCCGCGGCAAAGGCCTCGCGGGACTCTGTGTGGCCGGCGAGCGCGTGCATCCGGATCATGAGCTGCAGCGACTCGGCCGTCGGGGCCGCGAGGGCGCCTTTCAGGTCGTCGAGGCACGCCCGGGCGGCTGCTAGGTCGTTGGCTGCGAGCGACGCAGACATTTCGATGAGGATGAGCTGAGCAAAGGGTTGAAGCGGGTTCACGCCGGCGGCGGAGGCGGCATCTGCTGCGGCAGCCGCGGCGTCCTTTTTGACTGGCGACGACGACGGTTTTCCCTCGGCTGCTGCCGCCCGCTTAGCCTTTTTCGCCGCCTTGGCCGCGTACCACTGCTGCATTTTGGGTTGCATATCCTGCCGAACGGCCTTGACTGCCGCAACGTCGCCGGTCTCCGCAGCCGCTTTCATCAAAGTGAGGTAAGCAGAAACCTCCACCGTCCCGTCTCCTGCGGTCGCAGACTCGATCAGCCGAACCACCTCTCGCATTCCATCCAGATCGACAGTCTGCGCCTTGCCCAATCCTTCCAAAACTGCAACGCACGCCGCCCTGATCTCGTTACTCGCGCCAGGAAACTCTCCCGCGCGCATTGATCTCAAGGCACGAGACCAGGCCTTTCTTCGACGACGAAGGGCAACGGGGGCGTCGGCAGGCAATGGAGGAGGGCGACGGAGCTCTTTCGGCGAGAAGAGGGTCGGCTCGAGCGGCGGTGGGAACTTGGATGCGCCAAATCGTCCGTTCGCTTTAAACTGTTGGCGAAGCCAGTCGAGGCCAGTTTGTTTCCCTCCTCTCACCCAAGAGATGTGAGCATCCAGCAGCGAAAGGATCTCTTTCCTCCGATCTTCGACGGCTGAGCCGGTGCCAGAATCCAAAGGTGCTGGCAACGGAGAGGCAGCAAACGCGCGCAAGAACGCGACCGCGATGGAGCCCTCGTCCATCGGAACACCGAGCCTTCCCGCAATCTTGACCAGCTCCATGGCGTCGTCCAGTCCTGAAGGTGAGCTCGCGCCGGCGCTCTCTGCGCGGGACCGGAGGACATTGTGCAGCGCAAATGAAGTGGCCAAAGGCTTGGAAGCGCCCGCCGCTCGATCCGCAACGCGTTTCGTGTTGTAATGCGAAAAGACTTGCTCCAGCGCGACGTGGCGAGATTGGCGCAGGGCAGATCGGGGTTTGGCGCGAACGATTATGTCGATGAGGCGATCGAGATCCTCGGCGGCGATGGGTGTGGGGGAGTTTTGCTGGTGGTCAGGAGCGGGGGAGTAGAGGGACGAGTGGATCGCCTTGAAAGTATGCCATGCCTCCCCGTCGGCGCGGGCGTCCAGCTTTTGGCGAAGTCGAAAAACTAGGCTTCCGACCGACGGCGATGATGGTGGGAGAGTAGTTTGAGCGACAGTTGCGAAAAAGGCAGCCGATCGCGGTGAACCTGGGCGGAGGAAAGTCGGTGCGCGGCAGATTCCGCCCGCCGTAGGAGGCGATCTGGCAGCAGCAGCAGATGCTAGGAGCGATGAGCATCGTCTAGTCTGCAGGTAAGTTGCTGCTGCCGTATCGGCCTGCAGCAGGACCCGGAGTCGCGCTAACCGCATTATTGCTGTGGAAGGAAGGTTCCCTTGGGTGTGACAAGTTGCGATGATGTTGATGATGTTGTGCGTTGACAAGGAGGGAGGCCGTTCATTGAACAGGAGAATCAGGCAACTTGACTTCGTCGCGCACACGAGCGCTCTGGGACGCACCCGTGGCCCCGCCGATGCTGGCGGGAGAATGCCGTCCCAGAATGCCGTCCCTGAATGCCAGAGACCGCAACGACTGTATTTTCACAACCAGTTTCGTTTCAGTTTCTTGTGGAGCCTGTAAGAAGTAAGTGCCAGCGCTGATTGACGGTGCAGGCAAGAAGAGGACACGGTAAAGAAGGTTGTATATTTGAGTGCCAACAAATGCGCAGTTGAGCGTGCGCTCTGACAAAATATACCCCAAGTCTCATCCCGTTGTCAAATCGGTACGCGCCAAGCCATCACAGCAAATCAGGAGGCTGAGAAGCCAAGCCCCAGGTAAGGCATTCAATGCCAACAGCAGCTGTGTTGCTTTCCTGCTTACAATTAAAGCATCCCGTGCAAGTTTTTGAATGAAGGTTCGCACAGCAGAACTAGCTATACCTTATTACCTTGACCTTTATTTTTCGCCCGCACCCAGCTCCAAGAGAGCTCGCATTTGGGTAAACAATGAAAGCCAGCCGAGTGGAGATACATCGCACTTACCAATTATTTTTCCCTCGTTGCGAACCGGGAAATCATTTAGTGTCACAGAGGCAGAGCATGCAAAACTGTGCGCCAAGTTCTAAAACTACATATGCATTTTAGCAGCGGAACGTTTCGATCGTTCGACCTTTGGGTTATGAGCCCAACGTGCTTCCACTACACTACGCTGCTGATGCTAAAAACGCTTGCCACAAAAACTACCAATTCATTTCATAAAAAAATGCATGTACTGTATGATGCATTGGGCGTTGCGAGCTTTCGACCGCAATCATAGTAGTCCCGGAACAGGGTGCAGTTCCATCGCACGCTTGACGAGACAACACGACGCTTTTATGCAAAGCTTCCGCCCTCGCCGCGAAAAGCAACGCTTACTCAAGTTCACGGGGACGACACAATGCGCGAGGCTGTTTGTGTTTGCGAGGTGTTCCGGGAGCCCTCCAATGTTATGCTTTCAGAAGGCTGCCTGGTGCCTGCCAGTCAAGACTCGAGAAAATCCCGACAAGAAAAGCAGTGTCGAGCTGTCGGTGAGGGCAGCACCACACCGCCGGCGCATTTCGTCACGGGCGTTAACACTGACCGCTTGGGAGCACCGAGCTCGCCATCCACTCGTGTGGACCGGGACCGTCTGCCCCAATTTGCTCTGCAGGCCTTTGCATCGCCAACGAAAAGGTTTCCTGAAAGACGCCTTGTTGGTACCTGTTTCCAGCCAGCGCACTCCATACCCTCCCCCCGCGACGCGATGCAAGCTGCAAAGCTGTAGTCGCGGACGAAAACATGTGGGGTCTGCAAGAAAGAGACGAAACACGCAGCGAGGGGTGTTTCAAAGCGTGCCAGCACGGGCAAAAGTTTGAAGGCGCTGCCGTCGTGGGCGGGCTCCCGGTCCGGGAAGGACGCCCAGTGTTACAAAGACAACCACCGAGTGGGGTCCTCTTGCAGTCAACTATCAAGCTGTTGATGTATTGTATTTCCACAGCCAGTTTTGCCCAGAAGCCGTTCGGTTTTCACCATCATTGCGCGTGCATTTCCGCGATCCAGGGTGGGACGCACCCGCCAACTTCTCGCGCAACGAGGGTGTGTTTTTGGGGGGGTGGGGGACGACAGGCAGTATGCTCATTGATCTCGCCAACACCGCGCAACGGGGGGTTGGGGCTCGCCATCGGTCGGTCATGCAGCGTCAAGGACGAGGAGGAAGAGTATTTAAGTCCTGAGGCTGGCCGTCCCACTCGTCGCCTCCGCCAGCCGGCCACACACCCCACAACCGGTTTCTTTCTCCTTTCCTCCTCTCTGTTATTTTACTGCCCTTTCGCTGTGCTTGCTTGCGTGCTATTGGCTCGGGGGGGGGTGAGGAGGGCTTTGTTTGGCCCGATCGCTGTACCAGACACACACAGACACACACTCTCTCTCTCTCTTGTTCTCTCTCTCTCTCTCTCTCTCTCTCTCTCTCTCTCTCTCTCTCTCTCGCTCTCTCTCCTCTCGCTCTCTCTTTCGCTCTCTCTATTCTTGCCTGGTGGCGACAGCCGGAGTCTCCGTCCGTGCCACCCATGTCAACAACAGAAACTGCAACAAGCTGCAACAAAACAGAAAAATTGAAGCTCCGAGCAGCGACAGAACACGCAAGCAAAAAAAAAATAGGAAAATGACGCGATCGTCGCGCCATTTTCCCGTTTTATTACAATTGCGCAACGAGCTCGTGCGCCAAACAGGAAGCAGAGCAGAGAGAGCGAGAGAGAGCAGCGAGCGAGAGAGAGAGAGAGGGAGAGGGTGAGAGAGAGAGAGAGAGAGAGAGATAGAGAGATAGAGAGAGAGAGGGAGGTGAGAGAGGCCCTCCTCCCGCCCTCTCTCTCTCTCGCTCTCTCTCGCTGCTCTCTCTCTCTCTCCGCCTGCCACGCTCTTTCACGCCGGCGCGACGCGACGACCCTGTCCGCCCCACGCCCATTTTCTGTCTGCCTGCCTGCCTGCCTGCCTGTCTGTCTTTTCTCTTCTGTCCGGCCCCTCAGCCCCTATCTGTTCCCCCCCCTTCCCGCCCGCAGCGCCCGACCCGCCCCGCTGTCGCCATTCATTCACTCGAGGCTTGCTTGCAAGCAAGTACAAAGAAGAAACTTTCTTCGACAGATCATCTTCGCAGGACGAAGGGGGCTGGAACAGCGAGCGCTTTCGTAGATTCGCGAACAACGACAACGCAGCTCGAGGTCACACACAACCCGGGCTTCTCTGCGCGCATAAACGTTCCCTTCTCCAACCATCACCACAGTCACCCACCACCGGCGCGCTAGTACTGCATTCCTCGCGCCAGGGGCGCCCGAAAAGACATCCTGCATTGCGCCAGGGGCCTGCTCCGTCTCACCCGTTTGTCACATTGCTGGAAGGACGGCGGAAGGTGGGCAACATAAAATAAATTTCTAGGAAAAAAAAAGGGTAATGCTTCCTGCGAACGGGAGCAACAGCGGCAGCAGCAGCAGCGGCAGCAGCGGCAGCGCAGACCGGTCAAGCAGCAACCACCACGGCGATTACTCCGGCTTGGAAGACTCCAACGGCAACCAATTTTCGTACCACGGACAGCAGATGGCCTCCACGTTCGGCTCGTCGTCGTCCGCGGCAGCGGCGTCGTCGTCGTCCTCGGCAGCGTCCCTTCGGATAACGGACCCAATCGACGGAAGGGTGCGGGCCGGTGCGTCCTGGGATTTCGATTGGTTGGAAGGATACGACAGGCCTGGCGGCTCCTCGTCGTCTTCCATGGCGTCGGCCTCCTCGTCGTCGTCGTCGTCCGGTGCTTTGCAACCGGCGACGCCCCAGGGTGCGAGCTCGGTCGAGAACGATGCGTGGCTGAATCAGAACTACGTGTTCCAGTTCGACCAAGACGACCCGGCTATGTCGCTGCTGCAGCGCATGGGCGTGTTTGAAAACGAAGAGAAAATGGCCGACATGCAAGCGCAGGCCAACGCGATCCAAGAAGTGCTGTTTAATCAGCATAACAACAACAACAATACCGGCAGCTCCAACAATAACAGCAACAATACTACGAATAATGGCCATAGCGACAATGCAAGCTTCCAAAACCACAATCAAAACCACCGAGGATACGGCCAAAACTCAGGGCAGAGCCATAACCAGGTGCTTGGCGCATCACCGCGAGGGGTCGACGACCCGCAACGTTACTCGTTGCCGCCGCAGCAACAGCGCGCCGGAGAGTTTCCAAACCAAGCTTCACCCCCGCGCTATGGCCAAAGCTACCAGCAATCCCCACAATCCCAACTTCAACCGCTCCACCACGACCCACAACGCCCGTCCTTTACCGCGTCCTTACAGCAGTCCCGCTACCCTTCGACAACCTCGCTGCCACCGACCCCGACGCCGTCCTCATCCCTTCACGGTGCCGGCCCTTTCGGACCAACTGGGTTCCCACCTTCCTCCCAAACGCAGTCCCTGGTGCCGCCCTCCGAGCCTAGCACCGCTTCGTCGACCCCGTCGGCCATGCTCTCGCAGCAGACCGCCTTGGCCGCCGCAGCAATGATCGCGCAGGCACTGACCTCCACCCCGGGCATCCTGCAGCCGCTCTTCTCGTCCTTGCTGGCGGGTGCCGGCGGCGGCAACGGGCCGCCACCGGTGGCGGCGGCCGGACCGGCGCTCGCCGCGATGCTCCCGGCCCTACAGGGCCACGCGGTACCGCCGCCGCCGCCGTTCCTCCCCCCCGCCGCCGTAGGCGTTCCCCCGCAACTCCCACCGCCGCACACTGCTCACCCGCTCCCGCGCCTCCACTCACTCCACCCGCCCCCACCACCACCACCACAACCACCGCACCCGCTCCAGCACTCCGCCGTAGCCCCAGCCGGCCGCGGCTTTGCGCCACCGCCCATCGCGCCCCTCCCCCCAACCGGCCCACCGCCGCCTCCTGCGCAACAGCTGCTGGCAGCAGCAACACCAGCAACCTCAGGCGGTGGCGGCGGCAGCGGCAGCGGGAAGCGCCGCGCGTCGTTCTCGCTCGCGCTGCTCGACACGCCTCTCGCGAACCCGCTGCCGCCGCCGCTACGGTCGAGCTCGTACACGCGCGCGAAGCGGCCGCGGAGCGGCAGCGGTGGGCCGGGCGGCGGCGGTGGCGGTGCTGGTGCAGCGGGTACGTCGTCGTCGTCGACGGGCGCGGCGGCGGCGAACGGTGGGACGGCGGCGGACGACACGAACAGCGACAGCGGTGCCGGCACGTCGCCGCCGCCGTCGTCGGGGCAGGCTGCGGGGGCTGGCAGCAGTGGCGGCGGGTCCGGCAGCGGCGGGGTCGTCGTCGGAGAGGAGGACGACAAGCGGCGACGGAACACAGCGGCGTCAGCGCGGTTTCGGGCAAAGAAGAAGCAGCGGGAGCAAGCGCTGGAGCGCAGCGCGAGGGAGATGGCAGAGCGGCTGGAGGTGTATGGGAGGAAGCTGAGAGGTGAGGGAGGGTGCGGCTATTTTTTTTTCTCTTTTTTTTTCCCTGTGTGGTCCCCGCTTGTTCGTTAAGACAAGCATTTGAATACCGCCCCAAACCCCCTAGACTACGAAATGGAGATCCGTTGGCTCCGCCAGCTCCTCACGGACCGCTCGGGCGAAAAGCGGCTGCGCGAAATCTACGAGGAGGTGAGTTTTGCGCTTGCGCGCGTCGCGCGTTTTTTCCCAACGCAGTGTGGGCGAAGTCGATTTTTTTTGCATTTCCTCGGGTTCTCAACCCTCCCCATCCCAAAAAACAAAGAACAACATCCCCTTCGAAGGCGGCGTCCTCCTCTCCGCGCCCGACGGCTCCACGCCGACGACGCTCTCCGACTCGCACCCGTCGTCGTTTTCCACGGCGCCCGCGCCGCAGCACCCGTCCCTCCCCGCCCTCCGACCCCACCCCGGGCCACCGGGGCCGCCTCACCACCACCACCACTTCCATCAAAACGGCGTCGGCGAAGGCGCGGCCACCGAAAACGGCGACGGCCTCGACGAAGACGGTGAGGACGACGACGACGACCGCGGCGGCGGCGAAGACGGGGGGTTGTACTCGACGACGGCGCAGGGGGACGACCCGGCGGGCGGGGGCGGGCAGACTCCGTTTGGAGGGCAGTACCAGCAGCGGGTGCCGCCCGGCCCGCGAGCGGCGTTCCGTCAGTTTGCGACGGAGCTACAGCAGCAGCAGTCGCACCAAGTCGCGTGGTCGCCGCCGCGGA